TCTCTCTGTGTGTGTGTGTGAAAGAGAGAGAGAGAGAAAGAAAGAGAGAGAGAGAGAGAGAGAGAGAGAGAGAATGTGCATGTGTGTCCATGTTGTGTGTATATGTTTGTGTGTGTGAGTGGGTTCATGTTGTGTGTAAATGAATGTGAGTGTGTGTATCTATGAGTGTGTGTGTGACTGTTTGTGTGTGTGGGCATATATGTGTGTTTCAATGGATGTTGGGGTGGAGTGTGAAGCACATCCTCCTAGGAGGTTCCCTAATAAAACCAGAAAAGGACTGCCCAAGCTAACAATTTTGGTGGCTGTGAGTCTTCATATTTTGGGGGAATTAGAATTATGGATATTTAGAATAAATGAATAAGAAGGGACATATTCACTTCTGTTGGAAAATTTCTTGAAGTTAACAGAAGTAGTTGACTTAGAAACCAAGAAGTCTAATTCGAGGACAAAACACTCAAGAGTTAGATACATCAGGTTCAGCTTGGGCAGGTACTAATTAAACTCCAGAGTGATTCACTCCATTTTAAGAGGAGAGTCCTCCTGTACCTCTGACTGATGTAAGCAAAAGTCTCTGATTGCATTGCATAACCTCCTGGCACTCTGAGATTCCTCAGTGGGAAGAGCTAGTAGCTTCCCACCCATCAGTACTAAGATTGGATGTTAGTGCCACGTTCAGATGTCAATTGAATAGCTTTTGCTTCATAAGGAAAAGGAAGAAATCACTGAGTCAGACAACAGTGGAGAGTGGAAGGACATTTAATAGGAATATAACAACCCATTCACTTGTAACTTGGTCTCTTTTCAGAAGAATTCTGAGAGGACAAACTAGCTAAGCTACTAAGTCCTCAGCTGAATTTTGAGACCCAGAGGCCCCAGATTAGTAGGTTAAAACAAAGCTTTGTAGTATTTAATTTTAAGATATAAATGAGAAGTCGGGCTGTGATATAAGGGCATAGTATATTCAAACAGAATGGAAATTGGGGCTCAACATCCATTGGTGATCATCTCCCCAAGGCATAGCCTTGGACATTACTTTTGCTTTGTCTTCTGTTGGGCTAGTATTGGAGTGATAGTTGAGGGACAGGGCTCAGGAACCTTGGGATGGCAGGGCTCAGGAACCTTGGGGTGGCAGGGCTCAGGAACCTTGGGGTGGCAGGGCTCAGGAACCTTGGGGTGGCAGGGCTCAGGAACCTTGGGGTGGCAGGGCTCAGGAACCTTGGGGTGGCAGGGCTCAGGAGCCTTAGGGTTGCAGGGCTCAGGAACCTTTGTGTCACAGGGCTCAGGAACCTTGATGTTGCAGGGCTTAGGAATCTTGGTGTCACAGGGCTCCTTGATTTGTGAAACACATGGCTCCTGAGGTGGTGGCTGGCAAGGCTGTTTCACTTGCTGCTCATGCAGCTGAGGAGGAGCTGTGCAGGGCTGCTTCTGCTGATGTGAACTCATGCTTCAAAGATGGGTAGACCTAGAAACAGCATAAACGATGTACAGAGGGAATAGCTTGGCGAGAAACCACAGGAAATACATTTCCAAGGTCTTAGGAAGTAAAAGTTCTACTTTCCTTCTCTACAGTAGATGGTACTTTGCCATGAAGGTACTTAAAGGTAATATGTTTGGATCTAAACTAGCTAGATCTTTCTGGTTGGCTTCTCTTCCTACCTACAATAATGCACACTGAGCAACAGAGCACAGTAGGGATATTAGACTGATGACATTGGTTCACATGGAAGTGTGAAGGTGTGTAGAAAATAAAAACTGTAAAATGCTCAGAGCCCACTGATTGTTTGCAATAAAGAAGACATTTTTATCACTTGGAGAATGTCTGTGGTTACTCCAGCATGCCTCACCATCACCTGTGTCCCATACTCCTCGGCCTCAGGATAGCTACTCACAGCTGCTTACTCAGATTAGCCCAACTGCCACAGATCACATGCTACCATTTTTCAGGCAACTTTTCTAGAGCAACCACTTCAGAAATTTTTCTCACCTTCCCAAACAACCACAGCACTTGCCCCTGTCTCCTGACACTGATCCCTCATGGCACTGCCTTTAGTTCTCACTTTTCTAAATAACATGCTGTTTTGTAGAACCTAAATTATCCTTTAGCAGTTCAAAACACCAGACACAGTCAACCTATAACAAATATCTTTGTTATAGACATTTTATTGAATAAAATTCCCAGCATTAAGATTGTAGATCAAGCAATGATGTCACTAACAGTAGGATAAGCCTGTGTTCTGCTAATTATCCAGACACAGACACAGCAACAATTGATGGGGCACAGCAATTACGTCTAAAGTTCCTTCAGTTGTTATTACTTTTAAAAGAATGTTTCAATCATCTGTACTATAATTATGACTAAATTTCAATAAGAGGGGAAAAAACATCCAAAACTGCAATGATGTAAAAGAGACTCCAGTGAAAGCCACACAAATACATAAAGTATATGATAAAATTTCCATGCAGAGAGGCTTACCTGGTATGTGGAGGACAGACCGTGTAGTCACAGGGATCAGATGTGGAAGCCAGTCTCTTCACACTGGCTTTTTATAGAAGGAACAAGCCCTGCCTCTGGGTAAATGGGAACTTTTGAGCTTCTGCATCTCCATTGCTTGCCCGTCAGACATGATTCATCCTAGGTGCTTCACCCACTTATTGGTCCAACTTTCGTGATGAAACTAGTAATGTGAATTTTTTTTACATGCTGGCAATTATGCCACCTGACTATTAACCCTGAAGAATATGCCCCTGTTTTCAAGTGTGATGTTTACAAGGGTTTGAGGGGTGATTATGGGTTGAAAGAGCAAGAAAAAAAGTCTGAGAAATCAGGTATCAGAAACTCTGTCTTAAGGTTGCCATCAATAAAGCCTCAGTTCAGACGGGCTTATTGGGTAGATCAGGATCTGAAGTAGGTGAGGAATAGCCAATAGGTGTTTCTCGATCTTCAGTGAGGCTATGGCTTAATGTCATTACTTTCTCCTACTTGGGACAATTTAGTGAAATTAAACCCAAGAGAGAGCTAAAACCAAATAAACAAGAGAACAGACTAAAATCCTAAGATGACTTTTCTCTTTTTACTTTTGAGAGCCATTTCTCCAGGAAAGAATACAGAAATAAAAGGCACAGGACTGAAAAGTAGGGATTCTGAGTTGTGTGTCTAAGATGATCTTTGGGCATAGGTCCAAAGTGACTTAGTTTTAGTTCAGCCACTTTCTTATCTAATGTGACAAAGACCTGGGCACAGAGTTACAGGGAATATGGATAATGAGGAGAGATCAGTATATTGGTGGGCAGTGACATGGTAGGTTTTTATGGTGATGGACATTTGAAGAGAATAGTCACAAACTCTAGGAAGTGTATATAGGGTATGCAGGAGAGATTTCAAGGGAGACTGGCAAGCAGAAGATCTTTACTCAAACTTAACCTCTCTTAATGGATGAAGCAGCTGTGTTAACATGGGATTTCTCCTTCAGGGAAAGAAGGAAAAGTTTCTCTCATAAGCTAAGACACCACTAACCTGTGAACACGGTGTTTTGCTCACCAAATGTCTACCATTATGACACAGTCTTCTTCACCTCATTTCTCCTTTCCTTACCAGAAATTGTGATTCACTAGAAAATCTCTCTTTCTATGCCATTGTTTTAAGAAAATATATCATTTTATGCAATAAAACCAAAAATAAACAAAAAACACCTGAATTGACATAAAAATTAAGAAAAGCTGACTAAACTCTTGAAATTTTCCACACAGAAATGGTTTTCTCTTGTTTACCATGAAACTTAATTTAAGCAAACAACTTTTGGTAATAAGAGAAAAGCTCATTGAGAGAAAGCCATATTTGATCGACTCTTCCTTGAAATCAATACAGAAAAATTCTTTCTTAATTGGAAACTTCCTTGTTCTCTATTAGTTCCCTTTAATCTCATCTGTTTACCATTCTTCATAAAACTTCAAAAAAATCTAGTGTAGAACAAAGTAAGAGTGTTACATAATTTTCATGTTTTTTGATTGCATTAAAGAAAACTCCAATTTCTCCAATATCCATTTATTGCCATATAAAAACACCCTGAAAGCTCTAAAATTTCAAGATCTCAGTCTTAGTACTATGGAAGATTGCAACACCAACTGTGACACACAGAATAACCACAGACAACAGGATCAGTAAATTGTTAAGCCAAATGTCAGGCTTGTGAAAAAGTGAGTCACAGAACTTCATGTAATGGCATGTCCTGGAACCTCCCTCCTGGGTATGTACTCAGTGTTCGTGATGCTTCTTGCAGTCATAGTGGGTTTTGGGAGACCGTGGAAAAATTTGAGGGTTCTCAGCTCTATAAAAACAAGCTTCCCCAGTTCATTCACTAAAGAAAATTTGAATGTCTACAGTACATCAGGTAGTACTCTTGGCACATTGATGTATCAGTGAAACACAACAAAGAAATTGAACCATTTGAACCGAACACACTGAAGGTAGATATCCATTATAAATAATAAAAAATATAAATATGAAAATTTTATATTTAGTGCTATTGAAAACAATAGCAATATAAGCAATTAGGACCATCAACAAGTTAGTGGCGTTTGTAAATAATATTCCAAGAGGTGGTATTTGGATTTAAAAGAGCTGAAACCACTGGGATATCTGAGGGCACAGTGTACAAAGTAAGACACTCTCTGAAGAAAATGCTTCAAGTAGAATTCCAAAGAAAATACTGGAGCTGCCTGGAATGTTCCCCAGGCACAGGGTCTCAGGCACAGACCACAGCCCATCCTGTCAGCCTGCTTCCACTCACCCTAGGAACATCATGACTCATCTTCTCACAGGTCGTTATAAGTCTACTTAAACAATCCTTAGGAGAGTGTGACAAAGAAATGTCTCCAGGTACCCAATTGTCATGTTCCTTGGATATTTTGTTTTTAAGAGTGAGAGTTTCCACTCTATAATGGAAGAGTTGCATTTTTAGTGGATTAAACACATATCTAAAATCATTTTAATACAGGGAATTTAGTTATTTGTGTGATAGCAGAACCAGTGAGTTATTTAATTTGTTAAATATAGAATTGGCCCAGACCTGAGCTTTGTACAAGGAGATAAGAATGGATTGATTTTCATTCTTATATATGTTGACCTCCAGTTGAACCAGCACCATTTGTTGAAAATGCTGTCTTCTTTCCACTGGATGGTTTTAGCACCTTTGTCAAAGATCAAGTGACCAAAGGTGTGTGAGTTCATTTCTGGGTCTTCAATTCTATTCCATTGATATACATGCCTGTCTCTGTACCAATACAATGCAGTTTTTATCACAATTGCACTGTAGTGACTCTTGAGGTCAGCAATGTTGATTCTTCCAGAAGATTTTTTATTGTTGAGAATAATTTTCGCTATCCTGGGTTTTTTGTTATTTCAAATGAATTTGAGAATTGCTCTTTCTAACTCTGTGAAGAAATGAGTTGAGATTTTGATGGGGATTGCATTGAATCTGTAGATTGCTTTCAGCACGATGGCCATTTTTACTATATTAATACTGCCAATCCATGAGCATGGGAGATCTTTCCATCTTCTGAGATCTTCTTCACTTTCTTTTTTCAGAGACTTGAAGTTCTTGTCATACAGATCTTTCACTTGCTTGTTTAGAGTCACACCAAGGTATTTCATATTATTTGTGACTATTGTGATTGATGTCATTTCCCTAATTTCTTTCTCAGCCTGTTTATCCTTTGAGTAGAGAAAGGCTACTGATCTGTTTGAGTTAATTTTATATCCAGCCACTTTGCTGAAGCTGTTTATCAGGTTTAAGTGTTCTCAGATGGAAGTTTTGGGGGATCACTTAAGTATACTATCATATCATCTGCAAATAGTGATATTTTGACTTCTTTCTTTCCAATTTGTATTCCTTTGACCTTTTTTGTTGTCTAATTGCTCTGGCTAAGCTTTCAAGTACTGTATTGAATAAGTAGGGAGAGAGTGGGCACCCTTGTCTAGTCCCTGATTTTAGTGGGATTACTTCAAGTTTCTCTCCATTTAGTTTGATATTGGCTACTGGTTTGCTGTATATTGCTTTTACTATGCTTAGGTATAGTCCTTGAACTCCTGATCTCTCCAAGCCTTTTACCATGAAGTGGTGTTCAATTTTGTCAAACACTTTCTCAGCATCTAGTGAGATGATCATGCTGGTTTTTTACTTTGAGTTTGTTTATATAGTGGATCACATTGATGGATTTCCATATATTGAACCATCCCTGCATTTCTTGGATAAAGCCTACTTGATCACGATGGAATCAGTTCCTCGATTCAGTTTCCAAGAATTTTATTGAGAATTTTTCCATCAATATTAATAAAGGAGATTGGTCTGAAGTTTGGAAACAGTAACAAAATACTCAGGAGAGCAAGTACAGAGACAAAGTGTGGGACAAAGCCTGGAGGAGAGGCTGTCTGGAGACTGCCCTAT